AGCGGGTCATCGGAAACCTGTAACGGTCGTCACTTTTGGGCTCGTCAAGCCTGAAAATGGAGGAAGTCTCAGGCGGGAGCCTCGTCTGTGAGTGAATTGTGAGGAAGTCTCAGGCGGGAGCCCCCTCCCTATGGGGCCCGCAGATCATGTTGGTAATCCGAGCGGGTCATCGGAATCCTGTAACTGTCGTCAATTCTGGGCTCCTCAAGCCTGAATATAGAGGAAGTCTCAGGCGGGAGCCTCGTCTGTGAGTGAACTGCGAGGAAGTCTCAGGCGGGAGCCCCCCCCCTATGGGGCCCGCAGATCATGTTGGTAATCCGAGCGGGTCTTCGGAATCCTGTAACTGTACGTCAACTTTTTGGGCTCCTCAAGCCTGAATTTTGCGGAGTTCCTCAGGCGGTCGTCACTTTTGAGCTCCCCAGGCCTGAAAATGGAGGAAGTCTCAGGCGGGAGCCTCGTCTGTGAGTGAATTGGGAGGAAGTCTCAGGCGGGAGCTCCCGGGCCCGCAGATCATGTTGGTAATCCGAGCGGGTCATCGGAACCTTGTAACTGTCGTCACTTTTGGGGCTCGTCAAGCTTGAATTTGGAGGAAGTCTCAGGCGGGAGCCTCGTCTCTGAGTGAATTGTGAGGAAGTCTCAGGCGGGAGCTCCCTCCCTATGGGGCCCGCAGATCATGTTGGTAATCCGAGCGGGTCATCGGAACCCTGTAACCGTCGTCACTTTTGGGCTCCTCAAGCCTGAATATGGAGGAAGTCTCAGGCGGGAGCCTCGTCTGTGAGTGAACTGCGAGGAAGTCTCAGGCGGGAGCCCCCTCCCTATGGGGCCCGCAGATCATGTTGGTAATCCGAGCGGGGGCTCAGGGGTTCACCCTGACGCACGCGTCCTACCTGACTTCCACGCTGTCGCAGGGCCAGACGCTGCGCAAGGGCGTCACCATCGACTGCGCGAGAGACGAGGACGCTGGCCGCACGGGCATGTCGGACGAGCAGTGGTGGCTGCACCTCTACGTCATGTTCTCCCGCGCCACGTGCATGCGGAACATGCTGATCCTGCGGCCGCCGCCGCGAGAGTTCCTGGAGTGCGGGCCGCCGGCGTCCCTGCGGAAGGCGCTCCTGGAGTTCGACAAGAGAGCGGTTTTGTCCAGGGCGGAGGCGAAGCAGCTCGCGGCAGAGCTGGGCTTCGTGCTGCCTTCCGCCTGAGCGCGGCTGCGCCTCGCTCGAAGCCCGCGGGGTTGTCCCAACGGCTTGGTCTTGCGCGCCAACGGCTCGCGGGGTTGCCCCGACAGCCTGGCCCGCGGGGTTGTCCCAACGGCTGCGCGACGTGACCAGTAGAGAACGCGCCTGTGCTGGCCGTGGCGGCGACGGCGCCGAGGAACATCGACATGCGCGCTCATGCAACAGGAAGGGGAGGAGGTGGCGGGGCGCGGAACAAACAGGGGGGCGAGGATGGGGACAACGTAAGGAGTGGAAGGGGGGCCCGCGCCAAGGCGAGAGGAAATATACGCAGAAGAGACAGCCAGGACGCCTCACCAACCACGAGGACGACGGTGATGGCTTTTTCCAGATTCGCCCAGAGGATTCTTATGTGGGGTTCTTCCGTCGGAGTAATTTTTACTTTTACTACTACTACTACTACTACCTACTACTACTACTACTACTAGCTACTACTACTACTACTACTACTACTACTACTACTACTACTACTACTACTACTACTACTACTAGTACTACTACTACTACTACTACTACTACTACTACTACTACTACTACTACTACTACTACTACTACTACTACTACTACTACTAACTACTACACTACTACTACTACTGCTACTACTACTACTACTACTACTACTACTACTACTACTACTACTACTACTACTACTACTACTACTACTACTACTACTACTACTACTACTACTACTACTACTACTACTACTACTACTACTACTACTACTACTACTACTACTACTACTACTACTACTACTACTACTACTACTACTACTACCACTACTATCGCTCCTCCTCCTCCTCATCTTCCTCCTCTTTCTCCACCTCCTTCTACGCCCCTCCTTTTCTCGGTCGTTGTTGGTGTCCCAAGGCGTTGTTCATGCTGGAATATGTTGGCCTTTGTGGTCGTGGCTATTTACTCCCTGTTTTGGGGCGCCAAGGGCTGGAATTATATATGATTCACCCCCCGTTTGTCCTCTCATCGAAAAGCCTGCGTGGACTGCAGATCTTATCCGGTCCTCTTCCACCGCTTCCTCATACGCATCTCCGTTCTTGATCCCCCCCTGTCCTCCTCCCTCTTCCTTCCTTCTCCTGCTACTTCCTTCTTCTTACCGTTGGACAGTCGCTGGTAGGCGTGATCCGTCGCGTCTTACTCTTTCCTTCTCCCCCTCCTTCTCCTCCCCCTTCATCCTCCTCGTGCTTGGCAACAGCAGTGGCGGCACGCCTCGCACGGATCCAGTCCCTCGGGTGAGGGCTTCGTTCGAGGAGGGAGAAGATTCGGGCGACGGCGACGTCGAGCTTGTGGCTGCGGAGGGTCTCGGCCTCTGCCCTGGGCTCGACGCCTGCCTCTCCTTCGCCTCCTACCATGCTTTCTACGGTTGGCGAGGCTCTGTACCTTTGGGAGGTGCCTTTACCGGCTCTGTCTCTGCCTCTGCTCGGAGCTTCAGGTCTGCCCTGAGGAACGTAGCAAAAGCCCTGCGCGACGACGAGGAGGACGTGTGTCCACTGGTGGAGCCTCCTTGTCAGGCTGATAATCATAATTCGGATTAGTTTGATGCTCCAGGGGTTTTGGCCCCGCTGAGCTCGGCTCGGGGTGACCTCTCTTTTCTCCTGGCCCCTATCGCGTCTTTCTTTTCATGTATCGCGGCAAGGAGCGAGTCGGTAGATGATTCCTGGTCTGCCCCCCCGAATACTTTCACTTTCGCGATGAGCTCTGCTCTTGAAGTCGGTAGTGATTGCTGCGTGCCCTCTCTTCTAGTGATGTTCTTCTGTGCGTGATTCTAGGCGGTGCTGGTGACGCGCAGCCAGCCGTGGAACTCGGGCCGAGGGGTTCCGCCTGTGCATCGGCACTCTTGCTTTCTGTCATGCGGTGCTGGTGAGTCGCAGCCAGCCTGGAACTCGGGCTGGCGGTGTCCGCCGGTTCATCGGCAACAGTTAGTGTTTTTTTCGGCCCCCCGTCCAGGTGTGGCTTGGCCCCCTGGCCTCGTGTGCCTGTGACGGACCTCGCCGTCTTGGGTCTTTGCGACGGGTCTCGCCTTCCGCGCCCCAGCACACCCTCGGTTCGGCTTCGGTCTCTTTTGAGTACACTGGGGTGCTGGCTTGTCCGTGTCCCCTCTATCCTGTTTGCACGCCTGGTAGACACCGCGGGTTGGGACGATCCATATGCTTGCCCGCCAGTTTTCTGCATCGCAGACCTGTGCTTCGGCCCCTGTCCAGATGTAGCCTGGCCCCCTGGCCAGGTGTGCCTGTGAGGGACCACCCTGCTGAGGGTCTCTGTAGTGGGTCTCGTGGAGCGCCCTGTCACACCCTCAGCTCCACTTCTGTGTTTTTCTTTGCGGGCCCTTTGTCCAGGTGTAGCCAAGCCCCTTGGCCTGGTGCACCTGGGGGACGCCTCTCTGCTGGGGGTCTCTGTAGAGGGTCTAGTGGGGCGCCCTCGTACCCCCCCATCTGTCGGCTGGCTGTGACTGTCAGCCCTCGCCTCCAGGTCCCGCACTGTGGTGACGCCGTTGAGGCCAAACCAAATGTCGTCGTCATCGTCGTCGTCGTCCTCCTCCTTCTGCTGCTTACCCATCCGGCGAGGCGGCGGGAGAGAGCGCGAAGAGAGTGGTGCCTCGCGCTTCGTCTCGCACCGCGAGGCCTTGCGAGCCCGGGGGGAGGCCTGGAGGGGGGCGCCTCGGGCTGCCAGGAGCAGGGCAGTGCGAAGGAGGGTCACATCTGGGGTGTTCACCACAGTTTCCGATCCGATCCGATTTCGCGATTCGGTCCGGCCCAGGCCTGCCCAGTGGTGACCCCGCTTGGGCCCTGCCTGGAGGAGAAGCACAGCATCCACAGCCGCCCGTGGTTGCGGTGCTTGGGCGCCGGCGAGGCGGCCACCGCGATGGTCTGGGTGGAGGCGAATCGGAGGCGACGATGGGGGGGAGTAGCCCACAGGCGGGCTCTCCACGTGTCCGCCCGAGAGCCTCGCCGAAGTCCGATGGGGTCAGAGCAGATGGTGTCGGACCCTATTCAGGAGGCTTCTAATGGGTCAGCAGCGCCCCTGGATACATGTATAGCTCCCCCCTGGGTCATTCGCCCCCATCGTCGCCTCCCACGCGACAGGGGAGGAGATCGGCCCGGTGGGGGAACATCGGCCCTTGATCGCCCGCTCACCGCAGCTCTGCGCTGGCCTTGGCGCCCCGCCCTGCCCCCTGCGCAGGAAAAGCGCGCTCCTCGCTGTCGGGGCCCAGCGCCGATCTGTCGGCGCTGTGTCGCCAACTCCTGGCCGATGCTGCGGGTCAGATTTATAGAAATAGCCACTGCGTCTTCGAGTCTCGGAATGCGTCCGCGAGACCCTAGAAGGCAGAGACGCAGTGGGTATGGATGATAATCTGGCCTCCTTTCCACATCTGCTGCTGCGCTTCGTTTTTTTTGCATCCTCTTTTCGAACACGCTCGCCGTGGACACAGATATAAATCCTGCCCGCAGATGCCCTCGCCCCCTCCAGGGTACACTTCGATCCGATCGATCCGATTCGATATATCGAATCGTTCCGATTCGATACATCGTTTTTGGCTGTCCCGATCCGATTCGATTCGGATGCTCCGACCGTCTGACGCGGCCCCATGCTTGCATGGCGCTGTTGTGCATCCTGTCGCGGCCGATCCGATTCGATTCCGACTCCGAGCCGATGCGGTTCGATCAGACGCACATTCCGATCCGATTCGATCTCCCGATTCGATGCTGATTGATCCTGCCCCCCCCCGAGTCAGCAGCTACCCCTCCTTTCGCCCCTCACGGATCGGCCAAGGTTTTGGAACCCGCCTTGGCCTTGGACTTGCGCCACGCGTGAGGTAGGACAGGTTGGCGCGGGAGTGCCCTGAGATTTCAACCCCTCTCCTTGCGGGACCCGGGCTTCGCCCTGGTGCTCCCATGCTTTGTCTCTGCCGCCCGAGGTGCGCACATCTCCTCCCTTTTTGCCCCCCCCCCCTCGATCGGCTGCTGCACGGGGCGACCCGGGCCCACGGTGGCCTTCCGCCTCTCCCGGAGAGGCCCTGGCGGCCTGCGGAGGGCACCCCTCACGAGGCCCAGAGGGCCCCTAGGAGCTCCACGGCGGCGCGAACCCAGACATCCGAGGATGGCGCATTCTCCAGCCCGCGGGCCCAGAGCTCCCTCCCCCCCTCCCCCAGGGGTGCGGTTTTTTTCAACCCGCGGCTCCCTCCCCCTCCCCCAGGCTTAGCTTTGCGTCCCTGACCTATCTCCGAAGGCCCCGGGACCCGCAGACATGATTCCCGAGGGCCGGCATCGAGGCAGAGCGCCCAGATAGAAACAAGAACACCACGTCGACCCAGGGCCACGCCTGGCAGCCTCCGACTCAGGTTGGCCACGTCGGTTCCGACGCGTCCACCGCCTCCAGCGCCTCCAACGCCTCCACCAGCTCCTCCGCGGCCAGGCTCCACCGCCTCGGCACAGGCCAGCCGACGCTTGTCTTTGGCGGGGCGCACGAGGGGGTCGGTGCGGAGGGGTACGGCCTCCACAACGACGTCGTGGTCGTGGCCGTGGTCGTGGCCGTCGTCGTTGTCGTCGTCGTCGTCGTCGTCGTCGTCGTCAGCGGCGTCGTCGTCGTCAGCGTCAGCGTCAGCGTCGTCGTCGTCAGCGTCAGCGTCGTCGTCGTTCTCGTTTTTTTATGGCGATTCTTGGGCATTCCTGGTTCGTGATGCCACGGTCTGAAGGCGATTCAGAAGCCTGCCCAGGGTGGACCCCAGGTTCGGGGATGCAGATGTCAATGTGAATCCCATCCTATTGACATATAGACTTGTTTCTGTCAGTCTTTGCGCATGGCGTTTAGCTTAGATGTGTATCATGAGTCAGTCTGCTCTCATTATGGTATTGATTATTGCAGTTTATGATCGAGGGTCCCCCTGAGTCAGATAAAGGATAGCGTCTTTCGCATCGATAGCAAATGTACCTCTCGCTTCGCGGGATGCACGTCCGGAGTACGTAGAGTCAAGTCGTTCTGGGCCTTCTCGAGAGTCTCTTGGGAACTTTTTTGGGGTTTCTTCGGGCTTCTTGGGGGCGTCTTGAGCTGTATTGGGCGCTGTTGCGCCGTTTGGCCCTTGCGGAGGCCGTAGTGGGGGCCTCTCGCGGCCGCCTGGGGGCTCTCTTGTGGTCCTCTTGGGCCGTCTCGGGGGCCCCTTGGGCCGTCCTGGGGACCTCTTTGGGCCGTCTTGGCGCTCTCTGGGGCCGTCTTGGGGTCCTCTCGGGCGTTTCTTGAGCCGTCCTGGGGCGATTTTGGAGGCTGCTTGGGTCGTGAGGAGTCGAAACAAGCGAGAACACGACAATCCTTTGAAACCCTCCGGCAAATCAATGATTTGGGCTTGCGGAGGCGCAGTTGGGGCTCTTCTGGGGGCCCTCTTGGGCCGTCTTGGGCGCTTTTGGGGCCCTCTTGGGGCCATCTTGGGCCGTCTCGGGGCCGTCGTGAGCCGTCTAGAGCCCATCGTGAGCCATTCTGAGGCCCTCTTGTGCCCCCGGGAGGGCCACGGGGCCCAAATCATAGATTTTCCATTGGTTTTGGGGGTTTCTGAAGCCCAGAAGGAGTCCACCGGTGGATGTGGCGTGGCCCCTGGGGGGGGTAGGGGGGGAGAAATAATAATGTAACACATTGCAATATGTAGCACGTATACGATCATCGGATACACAGGATATGTTGCATTAAGGCGTTCGCCTGAAAACTCTGCTGCTCAGCACGTCACCTCCAGACGTGGACTTGGGGGCCTCTTGAGGGCCTCTTGGGGCCTCTCTGGGGCGTCTTGGGCTGTCTTGGGGCGCTTCTGCGCCGTTTGGCCCCCTCAGGGTCTTCTGGGGGGTCTCTTGGGGGCCTCTTGGACCGTCTTGGGGGCCTCTTTGGGCCGTCTTGGGGCCCTCTGGGGCCGTCTTGGGGCCCCCTTGGGTGCTTCTTGGGCCTTTTGGGGGTCATTTTGGAGGCTGCTTCGGCCGTCATGTCGCCAAAAAAGGCGAGAACGGTAAACTCGTTCAAAATCTATGGGAAAATCACTATTGTTGGCCTCTGGAGGCGCTCTCGTGGGTGTTCGTGGGACCCTCTTGGGCCGTCTTGGGGTCTTCTTGGGCCATCTTGGGGCCATCTTGGGCCGTCTTGGGGCCGTCTTGGCCCGTCTTGGGGCCATCTGGAGCCGTCTTGACGTCGTTTTGGGCCCCCAAGAGGCCCGAGGGGCCCATATCATGTTATCTTAGGTTTTTGTAGGTTTTGAGGCCCAGGAGGGGTTCACCATCTTTGGGTCGGTGGGTGTGGCGTGGCTTTGGGGGGGGGTTGGGGGGGTGACAATAATGTAGCACAATACAATCTGCAGCAATTGTGCAGTCACTAGGTACATAGGATATATTGCATTATCGCCTCCGCAGACCTGCCTTTGGCAACACGTCATTTCCGGACGTGGACTCTACAGGCTTACGCTACATCCGCCGACCCCTTGATTGTACTTAGTTTCCCATGCTTTTTCTCGGTGCGTCCGTGACGTCTTTTGTGTGTGTGTGTGTGTGTGTGTGTGTGTGTGTGTGTGTGTGTGTGTGTTTGCGGATAAGTCTTAGTTGCCTAACAGCGTTTGCTGATAGGTTTCTAGTAGGGTCAAAAGAGAGCATCATGACTCCTCAGGGGGGTCTGGGCGGGTGCCGGGGAGGAAAACCGGGAATCGTTTTTCGCCAACAGTCACACACTTCGTGCTCTTCGACCTCCCAGAACTCCATTCCCGGGACACATTCTGGAGAACCGGGAACAGAGCCGGGCTCGCTTTTTGCCAACAGTCACACACTTCGTGCTCTTCGACCTCCCAGAACTCCATTCCCGGGCCACTTTCTGGAGAACCGGGAACAGAGCCGGGCTCGTTTTTTGTCAACAGTCACACACTTCGTGCTCTTCGACCTCCCAGAACTCCATTCCAGGGCTACATTTTGAGTGGCCGGAGCCAACTGTAGGCCACTTCGTGCTTTTCGAATCGCCAGAACTCCATTCCAGGGCAACATTTTCAATGCCCGGAGCCAACTGTAGGCCACTTCGTGCTCAAAGGGCATGCCCACACGCCGGGTAAAGCCTAAAAGGGCTTTCGTCTGCCTGATCCTTGCCTCCCGCTCTCCTCCTCCTTCTTTCATCGAAGTCAGAACCCCCGCCGTCCTCCGCTGGCCTGGGTGCTCTACTCAGGTCGCGGAGGGGGATAGGGGGGGGGTCGTTGCCACGGCTGGTGCCTCGATTTCACGACGGGGAGGGGGGGGTGCACCGTTCCCTCGGATGGGCACATCCCCCCCTTCCAAGGGCCTCCGAGCCCTCCTTCTCCGTCCTTTCCTTTTCCCTTCTCCTCCCCCAGCAGTAATAGTAGTAGTAGTAGTAGTAGTAGTAGTAGTAGTAGTAGTAGTAGTAGTAGTAGTAGTAGTAGTAGTAGTAGTAGTGGTAGTAGTAGTAGTAGTAGTAGTAGTACAAGTAGTAGTAGTAGTAGTAGTAGTAGTAGTAGTAGTAGTAGTAGTAAGTAGTAGTAAGTAGTAGTAGTAGCAGTAGTATAGTAGTAGTAGTAGTAGTAGTAGTAGTAGTAGTAGTAGTAGTAAGTAGTAAGTAGTAGTAGTAGTAGTAGTAGTAGTAGTAGTAGTAGTAGTAGTAGTAGTAGTAGTAGTTAGTAGTAGTAGTAGTAGTAGTAGTAGTAGTAGTAGTAGTAGTAGTAGTAGTAGTAGTAGTAGTAGTAGTAGTAGTAGTAGTAGTAGTAGTAGTAGTAGTAGTAGTAGTAGTAGTAGTGGTGGTGGTGGTGGTGTAGTGGTGGTAGTCGTAGTAGTAGTAGTAGTAGTAGTAGTAGTAGTAGTAAGTAGTAGTAGTAGTAGTAGTAGTAGTAGTAGTAGTAGTAGTAGTAGTAGTAGTAGTAGTAGTAGTAGTAGTAGTAGTAGTAGTAGTAGTAGTAGGCCACTTCCTCGTCGTCGTGTTCCCCGAACACCACTCCTGTAACACTTTTTGGTGCCCGACGTAATACGTAGTACTACGTATTATATGGCCTGCAATAGTACGGTGTAGCACGTAGTCGTCACGATCATCGTCGTCACCCTCTCCTTAGCCTTCTTGGCTACAGCCCTGCTTTCAAAAGAACTGCGCAGCGCCTACTGCACACCTTAATGCCACGGCATGCTGGGAGTTCTCGGTCTGGCGGCGGTGCTCCTGACCCTGCTGCATTGAACAGCGGTGCTCCTCAGCCTGCGGCATTGAACAGTGCTGCTCCTCAGCGTGCTGCATTGAGCGGTCCTCTGCAAACGCTAGTCGACCACGTGAAGCAGTTCGGTCGGATTCCGAAGCGAAATACAGGAACGTCCGAAGAAGAACGGGCGGAAAACAAGTTGGCCAAACGTTTCTCTGACAATCGCAAGAGCATCCCCAAAGACGTTATGCGTGAACTGCTGGCCCTGGGCTGTTCCGATCAGCAGACGGAGACCGAGACTCCAGACCCTGCTGCGTTGAACAGTGGTGCTCCTCAGCCCGCGGCGTTGCACATCGATGCTCCTCAGCGCGCTGCATTGAGCCGACGTCTGCAAACGCTCGTCGAGGACGTAAAGCAGTTTGGTCGGATACCGAAGCAAAAAAAAACACGTCCGAACAAAAACGGGCGGAAAACAAGTTGGCCAAACGTTTCTCCGACAATCGCAAGAGCATCCCCGATGACATTTTGCAGGAACTGCAGGCCCTCGACGGCTCTACGGAGACCGAGGAGTCCAAGCAGAAGCAGAAGACCGAGGAGATCATGCAGCAAGTGCGAGACCTCGGCCGCTGGCCGAAGGAATGCGGCGGACTTTCCCGCTGTTCCGATCAGCAGACGGAGACCGAGACTCCTAACCCTGCTGCTTTGAACAGTGGTGCTGCTCAGCCCGCGGCATTGCACAGCGCTGCTCCTCAGCGCGCTGCATTGAGCCGACGTCTGCAAACGCTCGTCGAGGACGTAAAGCAGTTTGGTCGGATGCCGAAGCAAAAAAAAGGCACGTCCGAACAAGAAGTGGCGGACAACAAGTTGGCCAAACGTTTCTCCGAGAATCGCAAGAGCATCCCCAATGACGTTTTGCAAGAACTGCAGGCCCTCGACGGCTCTACGGAGACCGAGGAGTCCAAGCAGAAGCAGAAGACCGAGGAGATCATGCAGCGAGTGCGAGACCTCGGCCGCTGGCCGAAGGAGCACGGCGGACGTTCCCTCGCAGAGCGGCAGTTAGCAGAGAAAGTCCGGAGAGCACTGAAGGCCAAGGAGTTCTCTCCAGAGCAGGATGCCGAGCTCCAGGCCCTCAAGCAAGCGGACAGCGAAGCCGCAACAGCGACTCGCATCGCGGTTGCGGAGGCCCTTCCAAACTCCATGGAAGGGTTCGCTGAGGAGGCGCAGAACAGGATCGAACAGGACCTGCTGATGCTCGAGAGTGGCATCTGGACCAAGGCACTCCTGCGGCGC